GGGTCTCGACCCGAAACGTCAGCTTTCCTGCTCCTCTGATGTTGCTTGGCCTGCTGTGTTCGTCCAGCTCTACACTGTGTTACCTCAGATTCTCCAGCATCGGCAGTTCCTACTATCTCTAGATATTGTAAGATGAAGTGATAGATTTGGTATTCTGGAAGGTGATAGTGATTGAAGTTCCTTTCTCCCTTTTACTTTTGAGTGGGCAGAAAGAGCTGGTCACCTGTGGCCAGCCAGCTTACTCTCATTGTGAAGACTCTCAGATGTTGAAACAGATCACTTATGCATCATACTAGAAATACCCCAGCTGTCAATACCCTCAGGCAATCAGCAGGACAGAAAGAAAAGTGGGGTGGGGAAGAAACAGAAAATAAACAAGTCTGCTAAAGAAGATTAAAAGGCCCCATTCATCCTAAAAAGCCAATCAAAAACTTTTCTTTTGAGTGATGTGAAAAGCTTTTTTTAAAATGCTTCCAGACTAAGCAAGAAGAACCAAAGGGAAAACAATTCTTGAGGTTGGACAAATCCTAACAATCAGAAAAGAGAGGATTACTCCAACTTTCAAGAGTGACGTTCAGTGATGATTCTGTGGCTTTAACTGCTAAATACTTTTTATTATTATGTATTGCATTTTCAATTATAAATTACAACATGGTAACAGATCCTTCAACCCAACCTGTTCATGTCGGTACTTATCCTGACCCAATATGACTTGTCTCTGTATTCCTTTAATTCCCCTGTCTCCTCACTTCTATTGCTAAATATTGACATGGTCTCTGCTTCATTTGCCAACTCTGGCAGTGTGCATCTTAGAGTACTACTGGAGCATTTCATGCCACTTGGCCTTGAGTTTTTTCTGCCTTACCCAATATTTGCATTTATGAGTATGATTAGTGTGTATTTGTGCACTTGTGTGTCATTAGCTTGGAGCAGTGAGAGTGAGTGATATACATTAAGTGTCTGGTCATGATCTCTGGGAGACCCAATGGATTAGCTTTTTTTTTGTGCTTGTGATTTCATTCAACACACTCAAAAATAAAAAGTCTCTCCTTTCTCTCAGTCCTAAATCACTCAAATTTAATCATAACTATGTCCCCTTGTTTTGGAATTATCACTCACTGGAAACACTGCACCCACTGTCACACCAATTCCCAGTTTTAAAATACATCCCATATACTTCTTTATGTCTCTCTGTATCCAATGGAATACATAACATAGGTCTTTTGAGGGGGGAGGAACCCTGTATGTGAGTTTGCGTTTTAAATATAAACAATTTGCTTAGGATTCACTTTTGGATTACTAAAATAAAAGCGAGTTCAGCCAAACAGAACCAAGTACTGTACACTTCTGTGGTAGCTAAATCTTTCCACTTCATTGGGAGGTGTATAGTAGGAGTCAGTTAAAATATATCCATCGATCACCCAGTAATTTTCCAATGAAAACAGGGCCTATTGGTGGTTCTGTGGAAGAGCATGCTCATGTTTCATTGCTCTGTACCTTAGCTCTGCGACGATGTTCTTCCTTTAACTTTTCTTGACGTCCTTGGGCTTCAAGTGACCTGAAAAAGGTGTCAGATATCAGATACCATGCTCCTCTCCATTCCCCAAGTGGAAGGGTTTACAGATCTTTCTTAAATTTGTGTACAGCATGAGATAGAAAATATTGCAGCGCTTCAGGTGCTCAGAAGTTAACTGCATAATTACCAGATTCAATATAGTTACCAGGCATGGAATAGAGTTTTTTTTGGTTTATTCAAGAGATGTATACATGACTAGAAAGGTCAGCATTTATTGTCCATCCATAATTACTCTGAGATGATGGTGGGTGACCACTTTCTTCAAACACTATAGTCCATATATTGTAGGTATACCCACAGTTGTTAGTTAGGAAGTTCCAGGAATTTAACCTAATGAAATCGAAGGAAGGACAATATAGTTCTAAGTGAGTACAGGGTGTAACATGGAGAACTTTCAAGCAGTAGCGCTCCTATCGTTGATGCAATTTTCCTACAAAGAGGCAAAGATTGCAATTTTTGTCGGTGCAATTATTGAAGACATAGTGAGATGCTGCAGTGCATCTTGAAGATGGCACCCACTACTTCCACTGTGCACCAGTTGTAGGAGGAGTGCATGGTTAAGCTGATAGAGGCCAAAGATTTGCCAATCACGTGGGCTGCTTAGTCCTGCTGGAGCTACACTTCTCCATCACACCTCACACTTGTGTCATGTGGATGGTGGAAGTAATTTGGCAAGTTAGGAGGTGTGTCACAATTTTATGAATTTAAATAAATATAAAATCACTTTGGGCAACCAGTTAATGAATAACTTGGAAGGGAGATCCTGACAGATTTATTCAAAAGCATGCCAGGCTACATTTTCCCTTTATAAAGAATAAATAGGAAAACTAATGACTCTAAATGTGCAAGCTGAACTCAAGGATGTCTGATATACTAAACAAAAATTTCCAAGAACTCTCAGATTAAACCAACCATACCCACAATGTGGTGACAAGGTAATGGCTGTACAAGAGTGAAAGCATTTCTGAAGGAAACTATCTCAGCAATGAATTCTTCATCGGCTCTTCTTCCAGCCAACAAGAAACAATTGGTTTCATCTTGCCTACATTGAAGATTCAGTTTAAACAACATGCCCTTCAAAATATTGTCATTCCAAGCTACAGATGTAAAGAAAAATTGCATTTCTATACCCCATTAGATTAGCTTATTTTAACAGAGGTCAGTAGCTCAGTTGGCTGGATGGTTGGTTTGCAGTGCAGAGTTTGCCAACAGCGAGGGTTCAATTCCCGCACTGGCTGCTGAGGATATCAGGACGGCTCCAACTTCTCAACTTCAGCCCTTTTCGGAGACAGGTTAGCCTCAGGTTAAACTCACCACAAGTCATCTTGCCCTAATGAAAGAGCAGCCCTATAATCCACTGGGGCTATGGCAACTTTATTTCTGCCAATGAAGAACTTTTAAAGCCTAACAGACTGCAGATGCTGGAAATATGAAAGAAAAATAATTCTGGAAAAATTTAAGAGATTGGTGCAGCATCAGTTTTGTTGAGAGGTCAAACAGAAACATTAATTTTCTTTCTTTCCATAGATGCTTCATAAATGTTTAAACATAGATAATAAAACACCCAATTTATGCACAGCTAAGATCTGTCAGAACCCTCGTTAATTTTTCATTTTTTTAAACATCATTTTTAGTTTGGAGCTATGAAATAAGAACAGCATCTTGTTTCAAAAGCAAAGAGAACAAACAAACTGGTAATTGCTAATGAGGTCAGGTCTGAAAGCTAATTGCAGTTTGATTTTTATTCAAAGTACACTTCTTATGTTTCGACTTGGGAAAGGCATTATGCTCAAACTAAAGGCAGATGTTTGAATGATAATGCTAATTAATCTAACAAAGAAAATGTTGAACAGACAGAGAAAACAAAGTTTGAACTGATTTTGAATTGTGTTTGGTCAGAAGGATTGTGGCTGCCAGAGCGACAGGACGGAGGTTTAACTGCTCCCTGGGGTTAGCTTCCCAGTGACAACTTATCCAAAGTTTGGAGGATAGAATAAGTCATAGGAATGAAATGAATATTCCTTGGAGCCTACTGAAAACTGTTTGAATTGACTGATGTCTTCAGAAATCAAGCAACATCCAATTTCTCATGCCTGTAAAATTACAGATCGTGGAGACTGTTTTAGTGAACTGGTCAGTTACACCTCTTACTTTTCTTTTGATTTATCTTTTAACTGCGTCTGTCTGTCTTTGTAAAACAGAGGTCTAGAATTAAAGATGATTGGATTTAAATCATAGCCATCAATTAGATTACCTTGTAGTTTAACTTTGCTCTACTAAAGCTACTGCAATATTAATAAATTATTAATGTTTTGTTTGAGCTACACACTTGGTACCTGGTATCGGTTATTCACAAAGTCTGGCATTGGTGATTTAAAAGGTCCAGTTAGGAACCACTGGGGCAATTTTGAGGGTCATCGAGTACTTTTGTTTTACTGTATTGTGAATACAGGGGTAGGGAGGCCAATTTGATTTGGCTGTCTGTATTTGTGTCATGACAGGTTCCAGAAGCAATAATAGGATAAAGAATAGATAACTTGTCTTGAGGACATTGGTTGAGGGATAAATATTAGCTACAACACCACAGAGAACCCACCTGCTCTCTGAAATAGTGCCATGGGAATCTTTTAAATCCACCTTAAAGTGGAGTGGAAGCTGACATGGTCTGGGTTTAGAAATCTCATCCAAGAGGCAGTAGTGCAGCATTCCCTACTCAAGACTCTGGACCGGGTCTTGAACCCATGATTCCTTGTTGTGATAAGCCTGTGGATGCTAAAGAGTTAGAGGACAGTGTTAGAGAGGGAAGAGAGGAAAATTCATTAACTATTGATTACTAAATTGCAATCAACCCCTTTTGCAGGAGGATTGGTGGAAAAGGGGGACAAGTATAAAAGCAAAGCAGAAGCTGATTAAGTATTTCAGTACAAATTATTTAAGATTACCCTCACTCATCATCCATGACCACAATGACATTGACTAATAGAGGCCCTATTCTACTATTTAGCTACATAGCACAAGAGAAAACTTGGAAATATCTTCACCATGCCATTTACTGGAGCACACTCCAATAGTTCCTACCCTTTCTCCATCATGTCACGCATCTTCTCATATTCTTGTCGCTGTTCGAGCTCCAGGGATTCTTCAAATCGTTTCAATAGCTCAGCTGCTGTGTTTGAATAACTCTGAACGCTTTTCTGATGCAGTTCCTGGCGATGCTTCATTTCAGCCTAGAGAGAAAGAAGAAAGATACTACACTGATTTTGCATCTGAGCACACGCTTAGAACTTCACAATGTGCTTCAAGATCTAAAATATGGTAATCAAATACATACAGTAACATTTCACAAATCACTATGTGGTCCACAACAGTTCAGGAAGGCAGCTCACAGACAACCAGGGATGCGCAACAAATGCTGGCCCTGTCAGTGATACTCTCTTCTACGAATTAATAAAAACTGACAAAAATTGCAGTTTTTCATATTAAACTGTTTTATATATGTTTTTCGGAGGCATGTATACCTAGCGATGCACAAGGTATCATAACTAGGTGGTACAGAATGAAAAAGCAAGGGATCTTTACCTATCGATCTTTGACTGTATTCACCTTTAAGCATATTACAAAGCAATTGCTCAGAGGTTCTTGCAATAATCTCACTGTTAAGGCAATTTGGGCATCCATAGATATTTTGATTGGGGAAACAACAGGACACCATACCTGCCCAAAGTAGCGAAACAAGTTTTATTTAAACTTCAAATTATATGATTTTCATTATTTTCACATCTGCTAAATAAAGCATAGATGACACAGACAGTAGAGTCAAATGGCCAGATTCTGTGCTGTAGATTTGAATTATTTCTGCTAGTAAAGTTCAAGACTAAGGGGCAAAAGTTAAAAATTATGAAATTTGCAAACACTTCTACACTGAAGTTTGAGAAATGGAAGAATGTACAAGGCTATGGGAAGATGATGGAGGGAGGGAATACATGTAAACTGCTCCTTTAGAGACCCAGCACAGACATGACAAGCTGAATGCCCTTCTTCTGTGCCGTAATCATTCAAGATCTTCTTCCACAAATAGCAACTGATTCTCAACTAGTTCTTAAATTTAAATCTGAGACAGACGAATCTTTGATCACTACAGGTATTAAGTGTTATGGGGCAGTATGTGTTGTTAAATCACATCAGACACTGTGCCATTGAATGGCAAGAGCAAGAGCTTGAGATAATTGCCCTCAAGTTCCCACAAATGGGAACTAAGCAAAGGCATCTGTTATTACAGAGAGCAAGATAGGTCTCATTTTTTCTACTGGACCAGCCGATGATATATCACCAAGTTATACAGATCAGGAAGGTTTGCTGAGATAGTTGATCACACGTTGGAACAACACTGGATAAGGCTAACAAAAGCAACATGCTATGGATATTTTAAAAACTGAAATAAAAACAAATGTTAGAATACTCAGCAAGGCTGGTAGCATATGTATAGAAAGGGAAACAGATAACATTTCACCAAAGCCTGAAAAGTTAAACGCTCAGCGTTTGCAGCATTTTCTGTTTTGATATGCAACAAGGGGGCAACTTGTGGTGTATTGGGATAATTAAGGGATTGGGAAGGGGAATTAGAAGAGCAGAAAAAAGCAGCAAAGAGCCTATTCCAAACACCATCGGATGCTGACTTTTTGAAAGCTGGACAATGGTCTGACAATGGTCACTGGCGCAGGAACTATGAGCCAAATGGCCTTCTTCTGTGCTTTATTGTTATCTGATAATATCTTTTACTGTAAATCAATAACCTATCATGGTTACAGCAAACTTGGCACAAGTGTTAGAAATCCCACTGCCTGTTTAACCACACTCCGATGAAGCGTTGTTGTATTTTCCCGCTTGCTATTTAAACTCTG